ACTCTCAGAGAATCTATTCCATAATTTCAACATTACAACGCGGTTTTACAAGCGAAAAAGATAAGGGCAGGTTGTATATAGGACTGGACAAGATGAAAATAAATATTCTAAATAGTTGACGCCCCTTTCGAAATAAGATGAACTGAACCGTGTCACGTGACCGATTTCTTAGAAGAAATTACATCAGAAAAACAAAAGCTCCGTAGAGAATTTTCGTTTGAAATGTTGAAAAGCAAGCCAAGTTTTCTATGGGAATACCGTAATTAATAGTTACGTGTACAATATTACTGAGTTCGATAATGCATAAGTTAGGCGGTTGATCATTTTGTAAGTACGACAATGTTAATTCATGTCAATTCTCTTAATTCATGTCGAAGAGCTTAATGTCTCCGACTTTAATTCATCATTTGTGTAAATTTAGTTCGGAAGACAGGCCAGGAAAGCGTTTCCCGCAATATAGAAGCTGCTAGTGTTTATGACCATCATACGCGAAAAAATAAATATCAAAATAAGAAAAAATAAGAAAAAATAACAACAAAATACAGCATACGATGGTCGGATTTATATGTGAGTGAACTGAATGAATCAATCACGGACGTCAAGTACGTTTCTGGTGAAAGCTGGAGCATAGATTAATCTATGCTCCGGCTTTCGCCAGAAACTAGGTACAGAGAAGAGCAGCCAGATTTGTAACCAAATGTCAAAGCTCTTCAAGACCTACAGTGGGAGCCACTGAAGGAGCGTCGCGAGGCTGCTAGAGTTTTCCTTTTCTACAAAGGAAAGCAAAACCTAGCAGCCATCGACGTGCCTCCATACTTCCGCCAACAGATGAATACCAACACTAGGCTGTATCATCCTTCTAAGTTCATACAACCATCAACTAGAACGGATGCATACAAATTTAGCTATTTCCCTAGGACAATAGCTAAATGGAACACCCTACCTGGTGACATCTTAGACTGTGACAGTTTAAGTAGTTTTAAATCATCATATCTAGTTGAAAGCCCATGGCCTATGTCAATAACTGCAATTAAATAGGTGTGTTTTTAATATAGATCTATGTTTTAATGTAAAGGGTCCCAAGTGCACAGCAACAAGCCTGCACTACTGGTAAAGAGGGGTGATGTCAACGCGGTAGCCTGACAGTCGCCCCAGGGTATTTCAACATAAAGGGACTTCCTAGGGGTTATCCCGTTCCCGGACTATGGTCCTGTGAACATCTCAATCTTTTGCCTGTGCGATTACAACATGGGAGAATTTTTTACTGATCTTACACTTCAGATACCTACTTCAATAGATTCCTTGGTAATTTAGCATTCTTTTCGTGTAGTTGAATCCACAATTGTCTGGGTTTATCGGCAGAACGAAGACATTTTCGTTTTTGATCGCAATATTTGCGTGTAACATTTAACTTATTTCAACCGTCAAATTCCTCCATATTGGTACTTCCGGGCTACATCCGGGACAGCCAAACGGGGGATTCCCCTTTTAAATCCAACCGCCATTTTAAAAGTGATGGAATCTCTCTCGATGAAAAAGAGAAAATGTTCCCGTTCTGCCGATATACCCAGACAATCGGCGGTTCCAATATATTAGAAGTTACATCTTGAGTTCTATAATGCATTGAGGTAGGTATCTTAAGTGTAAGGGGCGTAGATAATTCTCCCAAGTTGTAATCGTACAGGCAAATGAATGCGATCAGTGCAGGACTATAGTCCGGGAACGGGATAACCTAGGGGGGTACAGGGGCCAACCAGGAAAGCTCCTTTCAATTTTAATGAGTTACAAACCATAGATCTATTTTTAAATGTTAGGTTTTAAATTATATTCTATTCAAATTCTATCACTGTTAAATTATATATCTGCTTTATATGGGCTTATTAGCCTTTTGCAGATTATCGACATAGACATAGACAAACTTAGTAGCAATGGACAACGAATAGATGGCGCGTTTTCGCGGGAAATTTTATTCACTAAAAAATTGACCCCGCTTTTATATGCAATTTTGGTCGCTCATTTTAACTATGTTAAAAGTCGAATTGCTGTTATTTCTTTATAAAATCTCTTTAATAATTGAATGAAGTCTTCGCGCATTCTGAAGAATAGAAGAAAATCGTTTTTGGCGAGGACGAACTTCACGAGGTAAAGTTTAAATCATTTAATTATACCCTCAATAATTTTTGGTCACTTTGATTAAGCAGTTATTTGTAAAGTTTAAAGTCTTGAGATCGTAAAAAATTAAAACTTACACTGATATATATATGCGCAAATGTAGAAATTCAACTTTTAAAGTGGCTGGTGTAATCTTCCGATTCTCATGCAAGATGGCGGCCATATTTATCTTCCGGGGTCGCGTGTCTTGCGCAAAAATAAAATCGTTAATTTTGGTTAATCTGTGTTCAATTATGGTTGTTACTTCAAATAAATGTATATTTATGAAATCAAATATGCTATTGAAAACTTATTCATACGATGTCCGTTGAATTTGGACTTATTAGACACAGATTAAAAGATTGTTATTGTCACGTGATTAGTTTGTTGTTGTTCTCGCGATCAAGCACGTGGATCGATGTGGATAGGTTGGTATGATTATTTGACAATTACCAATGCATAATTCAGTAATTACAGGTGCCCCAATCTATTATCATCGGATAATCACTTTGACTACTTGCAGTCTCACCTCCCTTGATGCCCCATACTGTAAAAGTTTATCATTGATGACCCATACTAATGATCACTTGATGTCCCATACTATTGATCATTTGATACATGTATACCATACTATTGACCACTTGATGTCCCACACTATTGATCACTTGATGTCCCACACTGTTGATTCCTTTGATATACTATTGATCACTTGACGTCCCATACTGTTGATCACTTGATGTCCCATACTATTGATCATTTGATGTCCCATACTATTTAACACTTACTACCCCATACAATTGATCACTTGATTTCCCACACTGTTAATTATTTTATTCCCTAATACTTATTAATTACTATTGATTATTGATTGTCCAAGACTGTTGATTACTTGATATCCAGTACTGTTGATCACTTGATGTTCCATACTGTTGATCACTTGATGTCCCATACCATTGATCACTTGATGCCCCATACTATTGGTTAGTTGATGTCCCATACCACTAATCACTTGATGTCTCATGCCATTGATCTCTAAATGCAGCATGCTTGTTTTAACGACTTGGAAAGTTTTATTTTGGTCTCTCTCAAGACTTTTGAAAACTATAATACATGTACATATGGACATATGTATATTATATATTATGGTAAACAATTTAGTGATATACATGTAGTGTCAGCTTATAGATACACTATTTGTATACATGGAAAGAATATTACTCAAGTAATAAAAAAATATTTGTACTAGACTAATGTTCTCCATTGATCCAAATGAAAGAGACATGGGAAATTGTACATTGCAAATGTTTATTTTAAAAAAAATACAAAAAACGCCCATGGGTGATACTCTGTGACTCTAATTTACGAAAATATGAACTTATATTAGACCTTCATTTTTTTTGTTTGGTTAAATAAAAGTTAGAGTTACAAGAAAATATAAGGTATGATAAGATAAACCTTATTGTTAATTTTTAATTAAATTTCAAAGTTGGGGTCAGTTTTTAGCAAAAACGATTTTTGGACCCCCTGAGGGTGACCTACTTTAAATGGGTGCCATGGCCAGTATGCATTTTCTAAAAATTTAGGTTATAGATTTTCTTTTTATTGAAACTCCAAGCTTTCAGAAAATATATAGAGTCAATACGTCCAAATCCAAACAGGGGGGTAAACACGAACGGGTTCCAAATAATGGCAAGCAGATCATTGAATTGAATAATAGTACCTCTACTACCTCTACATAATATTTATAGCCTGAAAGATACAATATAATGATGTATACTAACAATCTTACAATAAAATAATCAATTATGATGATTTAGGTGTTCGGAATTACCCCCATGCAAGTGTTTGAAATTACCTCCACAAACTCTGTGCGTTTAAATAAATAGATGTCAGTAATAAATGATTTAAATTTGGGTTTCTTGATATGCAGGGGTGACAGGATCCAGTATCATAAGTTAAGGGTATCATATAATGATATACCATCAATCTAATAATTAAAACAATTAAGTTTAAGTTAAGTGTTTGGAATTACCCCCATGCAAGTGTTCGGATTTACCCCCCAAAAAAACTCCTGTTCGGAATTACCCCCCTAAAATACCTTGTAGAAAAAATGGAATAACCCAGATATTTTTTACAATTTTTCGTAATTTTTTCTGCAAATGCATTCTACAGTGGATAATACACATAATATATATAGAATCATAGCATAGATGTGCAGTACAGCCAAGCTAACTACATTTTTTGATGGGGGTGTTTGGAAATAGACGTACTGACTCTAGTTTAATGGGGTTGGGTTAATTAAAAAAAATGGTTGTCCAATGCTAAACTTAGCTTACTTGACGTCCGTGGAATCAATGAAAATATTGAAGATTTTCATTGTGGTCTATTTTTCACCTCAAAACTATTGAAATCCAAATCGAATACATACCTATCGATATCTTCCTGTCAGTCTTTCAAAATTTGTCTCCTAAAACCCTTTCGGATATCGTGTATAGATACTGAGGAGAGTGGTAATCCAACAAGAATTCAGGGAATTCAACAAGGAAATCTACCGAAATGTGATGTCTCGTAAAATGACGTGAGATTTGACAGATGGTTGAGAGCAAATTACAGATAAATTTTCGAATTTTCAGTTGTATGCCAGGTCTAAGAATCACATTTGTTGTTGTGTTTACATTACACACCGCATCGATTATATAGCTCGTACTTGTAACTAAAATAATGTATTTCTGAATATATATTAATAATTACATTCACCTGAATTGAATCCTAAAATCGTAAGTTATAAAACTAAACCGTATATGTCAGCCAGAGATCTGCAAAATACGTGAGGTCAAAGTTCATTTTAAAGAAAATATTAGACATGGAAAGTGCCGAAATATTTATGGTAAGAATCTTTATTTATAATTTGTTTTAAATACTCTTAGTATATGCATCTTCACCATCAGATACGTTTACTGATATCTTTGAGTATAATGTGACAACGTTTTAGTCTTCTGAATTAAACAAGAGCGGAGAAATTGGCAATTCAAATTTCATTAGATTTAGAATCTACAGAATTTTATAGAACCTCATATTATGACATATGAACTTGAATAGAATTTAATCAGATATGTTCAAAGTTTGATACAAGTACATGTGCACTATATTTGCACTTATATATGGATTATTTTTCAACCACATGATCCATATTCCGGAGAAAGTGTTGTTGACTGACTCCCTAATTCAGCTTTGGTTTTTATTGGCTGAAAGGGTCGCACCTCTGTATCTCTAATGAAAATCAAGGCTATACACACCTGATTTTTGACCTGGTTTAGATATCAGGTCAAATAACAATGACACATTATCAAATGCAGTAAGAACACTCTAGATGGCAAAGTAGTACTTATAAACAGATTCCGAAACATATATATATTTCTTAAGATCTTCATACTGCTTTATATCCTTATGTCTCTTCTCATCCTACCATTTAAAAGTTTCACACCTCAGGGGCGGATCCAGGAACCAACAAGGGGGGGGGGGCCCAAATTTCAGGTCAGAGAAAAAATTTTGGGCCCCTAAAATCCAAAAGTGGGCCCAAATTTTGAAATTTTGAGGCCCATTTTCTTCAAAATTTGGCTTGAAATTAACAAATAAGGCCTTAAAAGGCCCAGTAATGACCAAAAAGGCCCACTTTTTGGGGCCTGAAGGCCTTGTTTGGCCCAAAAAATTTTTTTGGGCCCAATTTTTTTTTTTTCTGGGCCCACCCAAGGGGGGGGGGGCCCGGGCCCCTTAAAAACTTTTTCAGATAATGGTTATCAGTCAACCTTAACTCCTCCCCCCCCCCCGCTCCCCTTATCCCCCTAAAAACAAAAGAGTATAACTGAGAATAAACAGGGAAGGTAGATAGAAAACTAAATAAACTCCACAGTTACATATTTTGACCTCTGTTTATTTGTTGAAAATCATTTTTAATACATGTGGTGCACATTTGTCATTCCATGGAAGTTGAGTACATTTATCTCCATTTCTGGTGATTTGTGTAATCTTGCACTAAAGGACACTTTTGATGATTGTTTACGTGTTTTCTGTTTTTTGATTGGTTGAGATACATACTCAAATATCACGATGACCTTATAAAAACACTGTTCACTATTCAGGGCATATTTTCTTTTTTTCCCAACAAATTATAGTAGGTTAGAAAAATAAATCATTTTTGATCAGATGGTAGTTTATAACTAGACTCTGCATGCAGGGTACATCTTTGCCTTATAAGGTTTACAAAACTAAACATCAGTCTAAACCCATGGGCCCAGGAGGTGGGGACAATATATACAAAATTCTTTGGGGGTCCTAGGCTGAACCCTCAGATAACTTTGCATACCAATCTGTAAAATTTTAATGTGTTCCTATACCAACAAAAATAACACCCAAAACCCATACTGAATGTATAAATATAAGACCAATGCCATAGCAAATATCCAAATATAGGATCAATGCCATACCAAATATCCAGATAAAAGACCAAGGCCATTCAAAATATCTAAAGCCCTGAAACGAAGGCAGTTAAATCATAATTTGGGGGATTATCACACCAGATCCTAAATTTGGGTCCATTGCCATACCAAATATAAAAAAAGGTACCCCACATGAGCAGGGAATCCCTGTCAAGGTTTATATACAGTGAACCCATAGGCTAGTATAGAAATCAGACATGGGAAATATGGCATTCCTACAGTTAAAATTCTCCAAGATACTGACCATCAGTCGCTGTAAAACCATCTTCAACATTCAACATTAGCTGGACCAGACAAAACTTCTTTACTCAATATAAATTCACAAAAATTGAACATATACAGTACTTGAACCCTCTTTATTAAATGAATATACATGTAGCACTGGCGGATTAGAGGGGGAGGGGCTTGATTTGATTTTTGCCCACCCTTAAACCCATGGGCTAATATTGAAGTCAAACATGGAAGTCCTTAAGGTAAACTTCTCCAAGAATCATACAACCCTAGCTGAAACCTTATCAATAGGTCAACTCAGAGTATATTGACTTGATTAAAGCAATACTATTACCATGCTATAAGACCAGGGGGCAGCTAAGGACAGAAGTTGAAGGTTTTATCAATAGCATCAAGCATACATCGTATTTAGCTTTTGCAGACATATGGCTCGTCTTTTAGATGACCTGAACATAAATTTGGTATATTTAATGTTTTTCCATTTATTGACACTTATTTTCTTATGAATATAGCACCACTTGCCTATTTTATATAGTCCACATATCCACTCAATTTTGGCTCATATGTCACTCATCCATACATCAGTCCGCTGGCATGCCCCCCCCCCCACCTTGGGGAGGCCCAGAAAAAAACATTTTGGGCCCAAACATTTTGTAGGGCCTCAATTAGTGGGCCTTTTTGAGTATTTTTAGGCCAAATTATCAAAATTGGGCTTTAAATTTTCAAAATTTGAGCCCACTATTTGAATTTAATTCTAAAACTTTTTCAGCTCGGTTTTTAAATTTGAATTAGGCCTCCCCTTGTTAGTTTCTGGATCCGCCGATGTAGTCTTCCTCTCCATCTATCCAACCGTCCATCTGTCTGTCAGACTATCAATTGCCATTCATCTATCTCATTGATTTTTGCTTTTATTCAGAGATATCAGCTTTACCATGTCAGCCTATATATATATTCTCCTTATAAATGAAAGTCAGGGGAGATATGATTGTTGAGATGTAGAAGATGCAAATGTTTATCTATATGTAACACTAGTATTTACCCAGCTGCTCTAAGCTGGAGACGGACTAAGAGATATAATATAAATGCCAGTGTTTGTTTTGATTTAGTTTTTTCTAGCACAGCTTTATTATGGATAGTATATGTACCCTCTGTTTCGAATAGAGCCTGTGAGTGTGAGTTCTCATCAAATGTTCATGTCATGCTCACTTTTTTTGTACCTTGCCTCCAAAATATTTGTTTGACCAATAGTGCCACCTGTTAAAGAACAAATCAGAAACTTACTAAGTCCTATAGGCTCGATAGTCATATAATATACCAGATATTATTTGATAACATTAAAAATGCTTGTAAAATCAGTCATTTGTGGTGGTCCATGGCCATAATCCTGGTCACAGAGCCAATAAGAACGCTCTATTCTGTCACGAGATATGCTTTGGCAACATGACCATTCAGAAAATGTCTGAAAATATTGATTGGTTTATCTGTGTCGATGATATACTTTTTGGTACATTTTTTGAGACATCCTGTACTCTTCAAACACATGACCTTATATCCCAGAAAATAGATATCTCACCTATTTAGATGTGCATGTACATGTTGTTTTCTCAAATATAGCAATATCTTTCATTCTCCCATTACATTTAGATGCACATGTACATGTATATCTGGAAAATCTTGAATAAGATATCTGAAAAGTTATTTTTCAAAATTGAAGGTATCCTTTTGATAATTATGACTTCTCTTAATTGACTTATGTTTTGTTTTTCCAGAAAAATGCAGAGCCTTATGTGCAAATTGGTCTGAGTTATGTAGAATGGGCACGTGTCTCGGTGAACAACTGGTGTAAAGGACACGAGGCATGGCAGATTATCCTCTATACAGCTGCTATCACTATTGTCCTTAACTGGATACATGGGTTCCTTTTCCAGCCCCAGAGTAAGCAAGCATGATCAGTTGAAAGATAATAGCAATATAGGAAGTTAGAAAGTTGACTCTTGTACATATTTGGGAGCTTATTAATCTGTATTGTTGTCAAAAAGGGGGTCACCTGGTAATCTGGGGAATTACAAATAAAATGTCTGTTGATTTCTAAGAGAAAACGTAAAGTCCAACGTTATACAATTGTATAAAATTACAATAAAATTGCAGGTTGCAGGTTTACACAATTAAAGACATTTCTAAATCTTGCTGTTGCTTATTTATATTTTACTTTTCAGAATTGAGTGTAAGGATTCGGAAAAGTTTCTTCAAGTTTGTTCGAAAACTTCCCATTATTCGTGACAAGGTGCAAGAGGAGATTGAAAAGACTACAAAAGGGATTGAAAATGGTTTCAATAAGGATGCGGGTGGCATGCCCTATATAAAGAAACTACCTCCGAAGGGATTATCTCATGATGAAGTTATGAAGGAGATTGTCAAATACAAAAATATGGGTAAGTTTTTATACCATTACTGTTGCAATACATTATCATGGGAATGGTGTCCAAATATCAAAAATAACTTGTGGAAGATTAAAGTTCATTTTATGAGAAGGATGAGTAAATGAAGATTTTGTTAAGCATAAAATATTGTTCTTTGGGCCTCAAATTGTAAGCTTATTAACATTTTAAACCTTTGTTACATTAATAATGCACAAAAATAACCCTCTGTGAATAACATTATCAGGTTCTGTATATAATAAAATTCTACCCTTTTTATCACCCAACTTTGATAAATGGGGTAAACTGTATGAAGGGACGTAAACTTTATCTAAATATTACAAGTGTTAACAGAATTATGGTCCTTCATAGTAATTGCTACTCTAATCACATTCTTGTTGAAAATGGACAGGGTTAATGCAAGACTTGGGAATCCATATCAATTTCTTCCTTCTCAACTTATAAGGTGTACATTTGTGATGAATGACAGAATGCCATGGTAACAAAATTATATAATAATATTTCACAGGTGCGCTTGATTGGTCAAAGGGTGTCTGTTCTGGTACTGTGTACAGTGGAGACAAAGACCTCACTGAACTCATGTGTAAGGTAAGTCGCCTAACGCACCTTATTACTTAAAGATTATATCACTAACTTCCCGCTTAATTATACAAGGTTAAAGCATGTATCTCAGGGTTTGATGTACCATTGAGTGGGCAGGTTCATTCATTTCCATTCACTCATTAGGGTTGTTGACCGTTCAACTAGTAAGTCAATATCTTAAGGTATTGGCATACACATATGAGTTCCATCAACACTTGATTTGATAGAAAAGTCTTCAATTAGATAAGTGTTTTATTGAGAATTTTGACGTTCCATTCAATTTTGGGATAAATAACAGAAATGTATGTAAATTTTTCTAGTGCAGAGTTTGGTTGAATGTAAGAATCAAAAATATTGGAGAATGAATGATTGCAGGTATATGGTGAGTTTGCCTGGTCCAACCCTCTCCATCCAGATGTCTTCCCAGATATTCGTAAGATGGAGGCTGAAGTCGCAGCAATGTCCTGTGCTGCATTCAATGGAGGACCAGAAGCCGGTGGCACAGTGAGTTTCATTGGTTTAGAATGACACGCCCTATGATCACATTTATCCATAGAAGTTTTTATTTAGGGTGCAGTATCAAATATGACATGTGCAAGATTTGTATGCTAATTAATATTAAAACACATGTAAAGGTAAAAATTTAACGGTAAACAGACTAGTATCATTTATAGAAAAATGTGCCCATGAATGTAAAAACCATTATAGGTTTTCCTAGAATAAAGTATAAACTTTAGGGGTTTCTATAATATAGATATTACAACCAATGATATGAGACGAAAATACTCCAAAGAAACATCTTTAGAAAGGCTTGTTAGGTCTGATAATGAATTGACCTTGTATTAATTCATTTATTAATTGTAGATGACATCAGGTGGAACAGAAAGTATTATGCTGGCAGTAAAGGCTTATAGAGAAAGGGCTTACGATAGAGGAATCAAACACCCTGAGATGTAAGCAACTTATAACAATACTATAATGATACTTTTGAATAAGGTTGAATAGCCATTTAATACCTCAGACAACTTCATGTTTTGCAATTTTTGTTTCATTACTATTCTGCATTAATATTAAATCATTGCACGGTGGGTATAGTGAAATAGAGAAAGGGCTTACGATAGAGGAATCAAACACCCTGAGATGTAAGCAACTTACAACAATAATATAATGATACTTTTGAATAAGGTTGAATAGCCATCAAAGCTAAGTTCACACCATCGCCGCTTTAAAGTGTTATCAAAGCACCGTTGGTGTGAACTTAGCTTTAATTCCTTGGCAACTTCATGTTATGCAATTCTTGTTTCAATACTATTCTGCATACATGTTTTATGTAATGTTAATATGTCCATTGAATAAAGATTGATTTTACACATTTGCTGTATATACTAGTATGTAAGAAACAAAAAGATGTTACTTGTTAATAAGGTGTCACTGTTGCGAATCTTTTATCAGTCATCTCTTTTCCTGTTCAGGTTCATTCATTTGAGCTTAATTTGTTCAATATGTTTCAGCATCGCACCCATTACAGCCCATGCTGCCTTCAATAAATCAGCAGAACTGTTTGGAATGATCCTCACTAGCGTACCAGTGGACCCCAAGACCTACAAGGTTGACATGCGTGCCATGAAACGAGCCATATCAAGAAACACTTGCATGGTGAGATAGATGTCAAGGCATTCAATTTACATTACTTAGTCTGTATACAGTGAATAGTTAGCTATATGTATTCATCAAAGTGATGAATTTAGAATTTAATATGTTCTTACTGTATTTGATTTCATGAATTTGTTGAAATTCATAATGGAAATAAATATGTTTATGAATAAAGATAAGGTTTGAATATACAACAAACTAATTTCCCTCATCTTCCTATATCTGTAAATATTATCAACTTGTCCCTAAATGTGAACATATGACAACATGTATTTAGTGAAATTATTTAGATGAATTAATTGTATGTGTTATGATTAACTTGCAGTTGGTTGGATCTTCTCCTCAGTTTCCGCATGGTGTTATAGACCCAATTGAAGAGATAGCTGCAGTAAGTAAAAATATTCTGATACATTCTTTTGATTTTTATGTCACCAGCAGAATAGAAGTGGCAACATATTGTTGTAATCTCCAACTTTTATTGTAGACGATGTTTGACAGTTGTTTTTTGGCGTTCAGTGTCTGTAACAAATGAAAGGTTATATTTTGCATGTTAATGCCTTGTTTTCTTTTAATGCAAAGAATCTTTTTGACAATATATTTGCAGAACCTCCATGGAAGAATTGATTATTAACACAATGATGAAAAATCTATCAAACTTTATTAACTCTTTTGGATCACAACTTTAATGTTAAATCACAATTCATATGTCAATAACATCATCTAGATGCATACCAATGGACCTTTACATTGATAGGATATATTTGATAAATCATGAAATTAAATAACTTTTGACCGGTGGCTCCATAGCAAGTATTACTACTAAAATGGGGAGAAATAATAATATGAGATACAAATATAGGATAATTTTTGATTTTCCGAAGAGGTTATATTTCAGTTGCGTCAACGAGATATAATCTTAATCTATTCTGTTTCAGTTAGGACTGAAATATGATATTCCTGTCCATGTAGATGCCTGTCTAGGAGGGTTCCTCATTCCATTCATGGAAAAAGCAGGCTTCCCACTCCCTTTATTTGACTTCAGAGTTCCTGGGGTCACCAGTATTTCAGCAGACACACATAAAGTAGGTTAGAGTGACACATATAGAAACACATATAGATTTAAGATGTTGTAGCCCTATATACAAGTATTCTCACTCTGTAAAATATATTGCACACAAATACAATAAAAATATAACATGTTTTGCACTAAAAATATAAAAATGATCAAACAACTGCCCAGTTGACTTATATTATGAGAGATGTTCTCATTCACCATCTCACTTGTTTTATTTTTTTCCAGTATGGTTTTGCTCCAAAGGGTTCTTCTGTAGTATTGTACAATGATAAATCCATGAGGAAATATCAATTCTTTGTCTACACAGACTGGCCTGGTGGTATATATGCATCACCTACACTTGCAGGTATGCACCATGAAGTATTTCAACACTAATATCATACCTTTATTTAGCGCCCAGTGCTCACTTGATAGAAATCGAGGAATATATTTAGGAATGATTGAGGAGTAATATGTTTGAACAACCATATATTTCCTCATAAGGGCATGGCTCTCCTTTGGTTTAAACTCTTCAAATAATTTAAATCTTCAAATAACTTATTTTGAGTTATACTTTAACCTTTTCTCATACATGGACACTTGGACGACACTTGACAAAATGTCCAGGGGAAAACATTTTGAATTTTTTAACTGCCTGTGTGCTAGATAAAGATAATACTGTTACGTAAATGGTTTAGATGCAGTGTGTGAGTGTTTGCATATGTTATCTTCAAGCTTATTGTTTTTGCCATTGTAGTATATAGATTATAGAATACCGGATTTGACAAGCATAGTAGTCTTGACTTTTTATGTGACTTGTATTATAAAGCACATAAGATATCATTTTTGAGCTCACTGTTAGAATGCTGGTCATTTGAGGCATTCATCATCATTCCATTGACATCAATATATTACACTGTATTATGCATCCATCACAGGCCCGTAGCCAGGATTTGCCAAGGGGGGTTCAGTTTTCAAAAATTTCCAGGGGGGTTCACATTTGACAATTTTGGCCCAAATATGGCTAAAATCACTTGAGAAGTGCTGAAAAAATGCAAAGTTTTGGCCAGGGGGGGGGTTTGCCTGCACCCTGTGAACCCCCTGGCTACAGGCCTGCATCATCATTCCATTGACATCAATACATTATGCTGCTGTATTATGCACTCCCATTATCTCCTAAGGGAGAAAGCATGTAACATCTCCCATGTGTTACCTTCAGGTAGTAGGGCTGGGGCAATCATAGCTGCATGTTGGGCAACCATGGTATCTATAGGAGAGGAGGGATACGTTGATTCTACTAGGAAAATAATCCAGACCACGAGATACATCACCGAAAAGTAAGTTTCATGTTCTGTAGTTCATCCTTAAGGTAGACCAAGTAGAAAAAGTTATCTGTCATCATGTGTAGCATGCCCAAAAGTAACCACACTCTGCTCGACTTAATGTTTATGTGATTTCATCTTGAAAGTTTGGCTTTAGATAACAATGTTTCACTTCTAAATTAGCATAATTTGTAATTTCTATGTCTAAGAGACATAGCCCCTTAAATTTGTGAAAAAATGCATGACTTTTGTCCCTGAGTAAACTAATTAAATCATATTTGTGTACATGTATTATGACAATGAAATCTGTAATAGTTCACTGGTAGTATCTAGTTATACTGTCTGTTCATTATAGGATACGTAAGATAAATGGCTTATATGTCCTTGGAGAACCACAAGTTAGTGTGATAGCCATGGGATCTCTGGACTTCAACATCTTTAGATTGTCTGATGCGCTTGGTCGAGAGGGCTGGAACCTCAATGCCTTGCAGTTCCCAGCTAGGTTAGTAAGCAATCAGCATGGTGTCTTAAAGTGGGTCCTTCTACCCCTAGCCCTTTTATATTAATCTTTATATATACATGTTTATCCCATACTTGGACGTGTTACAGGTACATAAAGCCAGTTTATAAAAACTTATATTTTCAACAGCGGGCAGATATAGCTTTACGTCCCGCTCCGAGCGGGCAGATATAGTATATCTACGCTACGTCATAATCGCCGCTCGCATATTTGTTCATAATTTGTAAAGTTCGCATAATTACTGTAAACGACAATGGAGAAAAACGTAGACAATCGTGATCTGTTTGATGGTTTAAAAAAGGGTAGGAGCATCCACTTAATCAATCAAAAATTAGAGAAAATAAATGTGGGAATATTTGAGAGAATAGGAAAATCTGCCCACGGCCAAGAAAACAAAACTGGGCATGAATGTTCACGATTGAACAATGTGAACCAGATGACCAAGATTGGTATGGGATAAACATATTATCCTAGAGTCGGTTCAGGATATTGGGATTATCCCTTGGCCAATATAATATATTTTCCCTCGGGACCTGCGGCCCTCGGGCAGATATATTATATTAGCCTCGGGATAATCCCAATATCCTGAACCTCATATAGGATAATCTCTATATATTGTATGGGAATGCTTGTTATAGCCTTTATACTTTTGTGGGGATTGATTTGAATGAAACAATGTCAAATGTTTGAATCCACAGTATTATGATTAGATGTCTCGGAAATTAATTCCTCATTTATGATTAGCAAGTAAATAATTATAACTCACTCGTACATACATACATGTTCTTGCAAAAGAAATACATGTTCTTATTTTAGATTTATTCTTTTTATTTTCCAGTGTCCATATATGCTGTACTCTTCTGCACACCAAACCAGGTGTTGCTGACAAGTTTATCGCAGACGTAACCAGGGTAACTGCAGAGATCATGAAAGACCCCAAAGCCAAATGTGGAGGAATGGTGAGATTTACATGTTCATTTAGCTAATTATTCATGATTCAGAGTTGAATCTCAGTTCAGTATTATGTTGGAGAAGTATAATGTGGAATTGAGATGTTGGCATTCATAAAGTTTGTCTCATGGTCTCATTGTACTATTGCACCTATTGGTCCAGAATAAATGAGGCGTATATAATGTCTAGATAATTCAGCTTATGTTGGTCTTGAAAAAATACCTCTTTTCTTCCAAATTTTTCAATTTTGACAGGACTGTAGAATAAATTTTTTTAGAAAACCCAAAATGCTTAAGCCTGTACTTTAAGAAAACTCTTTGAACTGTTGATAACTATAGGTGGTCCTATGTTTTTATTTCATATTGGGATCTGCATTGAAATTGTAAATTAAGGAAGATCTAATTTTTTTTGTTTTCATGATTATAATTACTAGTAATTAATAAAATGGAAATTATTTGCTCATTTTTATGTGGATATTTTATTCACATGTTATGGTAGAATAAAATTTGAAATGACATTTCTCCAAATCTTTCAGCTTTTCGCGAACGTGTAGAGCTACCTTAATCTATTCATATCAATTATAGTTTGTCATTGTCATTTATTCAAGTATTTTGATGAACTTTTTCAGGGTGCCATATATGGAATGGCTCAGAGTATTCCCGATCGTAAACTTGTGGGTGAAATAGCCCTTGGATTCATTGATGCGTGCTACTCCACCAAGGGAGCTCCTGTTTCTAATGGAACAAATGGACACGCTGTTCAATAACTTTTGGCAGCAGTAAAGCAACATAAATGCAATGATGTACAATTTGTGAAACACAATTTCGATTTACTTCCTTTTAAAATGGAGAAATTGAAGTTAAAAACGATTATTATGAACGATGTACATGTTCATGTACAGTATTGAAAAAATCAGTGCGCACAAATTCAACTTAGGGACTTTTGATTCCTCAAAATGAAAAGGAATAAGTTAAAATACCTGTAAAAAAGAAAAGAGTTGCCATATTTTACGAAGTCCTAGTCATAGAATATACCATAAAATGCAGTTTATTTTACCATAATTGGTACCATGGGCCTACTTCATTGAGATAGTTATTATCAGAAAACATTGATTTAGAAAATGCAAAACAAGGTAACATCTCTATCAAAGAAAATACATGTAGAAAATGTTTACAAAAAATCAAAATTGTTCAAATAGGATTGTTTTTAGATAGAATATGTACATAAATCTTGAGAGTGTGGATTAATTCATATGTACTCTGTATACATACATGTAGTAAATGTAGTAAGTACACGTTTTTTCAATGGAAACTTCAAAAGTGTGATTTTACTCAATTTTACACCAGCAAACATTTTATTTTATTTCATTATACAATGTGTTTTAGTGGCTACAATTTCACCTAGTCTGTAGATTTCATTATAGAACAAAAAAGATGTTTAATATGCTCGAAAATATTTTAGTCCATGTATGATAATGTTTAACATAAAGTATATCCCTGTCATTTTCTAATAAATTAATAATGATATAAAAATTACATATTTCATGTTTAATTTGGTATCTTGTTATATACATGTAGATTAATTGTAATCCTTCCCAACATTCCATGTAACTGTTCACATTGAAATTCACTGAACAGGAAAACTTTTGTATGTAGACATCCCTGGTAAGTGAACACATTCCCTCTGTCTCGTTTTAAGCTACAATGCGACTCCTTGCTGAATTTTATAATGTGAACACCTTGCAAAGTGAACACTGTTGCCCAGGCATTCACATGTCAGAGAAAAACTAACTTTAGAAAAAATGTGTTCATACTTGACTTTCATTTGGTATTTAACATACTTAAAGAGGCACTATGTGTTTTTTAAGAAGAAAAAAGGAGCAAAACTGTAGAAACATGTTATTCACACAATCAATTGAATAATATACAAATAAGAACATTGAGGGGAGAAAAATTCACATAGAAAACAGCATAAGAAATTCTGAGATTGCAAGTGGCGCTTGCACATTTTTCGCCAAGGCATTTTTAAATTACTTTTGAATGAATAGATGGCGTATATGTTTTATACATAGACCAAACTTGAATCGATCATATGATATGGATATCTTCGCCACCTTTTGTTTGACATAGGAAAAACTTCACATGTGGCCTGTGTGAACTATCTTTGGTGTCCAATGGAAATATCAAATGCTTATCAATCCATCAGACATACTAGGGTGATGTAAGTGAAGTAAGTTTGCTAAATAATACTGAAAAGTATTGCACAGAGTCACTGCAATACTGTTTCCCTTATTGTAGTTATTGCAGGTCAGGTGATCGAAAAAATGACTGGGATAAAAGCACAACTGAACAAAGTTTGAATAAGGTTATAGATCAGCTGTCCATCCATTAATTTATCCAATCATCATTCCATATGTCTGTCCAGGCAATAACTCAAATACTGGTTTATGAATTTGGTTCAAATTTTAATGGCTAATCTCTTTTGGGCATAGGATATTTGGTTGAGTAGGAATTTCTAATATAGCTGCTCAATTCCAAATGGACACAATTGTCCATGAAAAATATTGATAATTTAATACCAGTTATCTATTTTTAATATGGTGTCAGCGGTGTAAATTTTAACAAAAGGAAATAATAATCGTGTCTGGCAATCCTATCTTAAAATGTTTAAAGTCATGAGTGATTTGACAAAATGTGTTGGGTAGGATATGGCACTACTCAAGTTTATGTTTTTTGGCAGAAAAAGAGAATTTTAAAATTTACAAGGCTTTTTGTACTTTCTGTACAAACAATAGGCGGAGGGACATTTGGTGTACTTCTATAAGATGTTTGATGTACTTATATAACTCCTATCAAGAAACTTGTGGGCTTTTAGTCATAAATTTACAATAGTGCTATTAGACCCAGTTTCATGTATGGTAGGTATAAAATTGAATACATGTACCTTAGTTTCTGAGGGATATATCTGATCCCCCTCTAATATATAAGGGTTATGTACTGGGAGGTTTTGGATATGGGGTTTATCCAGAGGGAGATATGCATATCTACCTGAGGGACCGTAGGGACCGAAGGTAGATGTGCATATCTCACGAGGGATGAACCCCATATCCAAACCGACTGTACATAACTGCTTTATCCTATACCAAGTAGAGTTTTCAGTGAAATTACCGAAAGCGGGAAGATATGCACCGAAGCGGGAAGATATGCACCGAAGCGGGAGATATGGAGGTTCTGGATATGGAAACCTCAAAATCAGGATATGGGGCATATGGGATATATCTTACCAACTTATCTCCCTAAAACTCTACTTGGCATAGGATAAAATATATATATATAACAAGAACCCTCATCATGACACACTTAATTTTGAAGTAGCTTAGAATATGTCAATCTTTGATACACACTTTGGGCTGTTGTGCTTTTTTGCAATAATTGATTTTGTTACCCAAATGACTGGTCCCTCATTATGAGTCTATTGCATTGAAAATGATCAGTTCCTATATTTGTATTTGTTGCAAGGGGCACTTTGACCCAGTTTGACCTTGTCACGTGACAGGCAGCCATCATGATAAATGAAGTTTTGGAATGCAAAAGTGTTGGTTTTACTTGAATAACTTTCACTGAAGGCGTTTTCCAGCCTTAAAAATGGAAACCCCGGTAGAGCGATGGTTAGGAACGTTCATGTGCCGCCAATACTCGCCAGTGTTCTTCGCACATGGATACAAAACACTGGAATCCGTAAGTTTTAGTTTGTTTTTATTTTTCAGTTTTTTGGATTTTTTCGTCCCAACTTCAAAACTTTGTAAAGACATAATTTCCCGTTTAGATTATACTGAGATATTGAAAGTTTGAAAGAACTGGATTTTGTGTTGTCATGAACATCATGATGCAACTTTAGGAACTTGTGCTTTCAACTTATTCCTAACTGTTCACCCATCTTGGACTTCTGTGTGTGTGTTTCGCTTTCCTAAGCTGGCTTTTAGCTATCAGGTACATTCATTAAATTGTTTATGTAGACTTTTGCTTGATTGTAAATTGTAAATAAATATAGTTTATAGTTCCCTTCACTTTTTTGAACAGTAAGCCGCTATGTAATTGTAATGCCTGAAACTGAATTACTGTATCCAGCTGCTCACTTTATACTTCCAAACGTTCCCTACATCTCCATATTCTGTTTGCAAAAGTCGCTTATTTATCATCAGCTGCTTCTGTGTCAATCAGGACTTCTCTTTATCCCCGAGTGGACATTTCCGAGCGAGAAATCAAAATGGCGGTTTTGACGGAAAACATGTTATCACTCACTTGTCCATCAGTATCCATCAGTCTGTCAACTAGAGTCCATTTCACTGCTTCATTTCGTTAGTAGAACGGCAAAAATAAGAAATTGGGAGACCATTGTGCAATAATATATGGAAAAGTATATTCATAATGTACATGAATGACATTTGTATATTTAAGATTTTTCAGTTTTTTGTGCAATAAGCCTGTGCCGTCTTGTAATTTGAAGAATTTCAGCCATGTTAATCTTATTGAAAATAACATGGCAGAGAAACATCCAAATATAAGAGGCCACACACTTTATAAACCAAACTAGAAGCAATCCAAGATATACAAATGTCATTCATGTACATTATGAATATACTTTTCCATATATTATCGCACAATGGTCTCCCAATTTCTTATTTTTGCCGTTCTACTGACGAAATGAAGCAGTGAAATGGACTCTACAGTGGCACGTTTTAAAGCCTATGTTGATAGGATTCCTGTTTTTAGTTGTTTTTGTTGATTTTTGATAGAGAAAATCCCTGTATGATTCCTTGTTTAAAAGCTTGCCTATTTTCAAAATTTTTGTACTATACCATGGCCTTTCAACTAGATTGAAGCTTGATGACATATATCGTAAATCTCAAGAAATGTTATATGTGGCCTTTTGTGACAAGTAACATAAATATTAATTTGAAAACCATAGATCTGTCGAGGCAATACTGTTGGACTCGAATACCAATATTGTTTATATTTTATATGTATATGCCCGATGGGAGTACAAGTTCTGCTCGAAAGCTGATTTTCAAAATGGCCATGAGAAAATATATTTAAAAAAACATGGTGGTCATCTTGAAAACTGGAAGCCGTTTCACACTTTTTTACAATTTTTGCTGTTACTGGAAAATCTACCACCAAAATCTATACTCGAGTAGAATAATAAATTTAACGATGAAGTAGTCAATTTTGATGATTTTTGAAAAAAATTAGAAAATTAGAACCTAGAAAATCAAGACATTTGTCGCTGAACATTCAATTCCCACTTCTCTCAAAATTTATTGCACATTCGATATACAGGATATAAACAAACATAGAAATATGATGAATATGATTCTCATACTTTATTCCTATCAACTGACCATTAAATCAACAAAACATTCTTCAGAATATCGACAGAAAGGCAGCTACAATCCTTGCTTAAATCATGAGTATGGAGAGTAAATCATGATTTTCCTCAGAAATTTTCAGGATCAAGATTTTCAAATTTTCAATCGGTTGATCATTTTGCTCACTCATTCGAGTTCTAGTTGATTACCTGAGTCACTTGTTACACCACTACTTTTGATTATGGATTTATAAGTCAGTTATAGTATCAGAAAATAAAGACATTCAGACATTTTCATTGTTGGAAAATATTGAGTTGCATCCATGGGAGCCAGTCCTCCTTGATTTTTGCTATACAGCCGTGGCTGTTCGATGGGATTTGCTACGCTTTGGCACTGTGTTGTTATCTAGTTATGTAACTGATTATTATAGCTTCTATTGCCAGAAAATGAATTGATCAAAAAATCTCAAAGTTACTAGACTCCTTTCTATAATATAAAGATAGATGGTGCTAACTGAATCTAGGTCACATTTCTACCTCATTAAATTCATTAATGGCAAAAGGTTGTTTTGTGAGTCTACAAAGCCTGATAAGTTTAGTTTATTGATAGAACAGAGTAAATTTGTTTTGCGCTACATTTTTTGCCTCCTCTATTTCTGGTATTCAAGTAAACATCTGTGCTCCCCAGGAGGGAAAATGCCGGGATATCCCTGGACTTTCAGCAGCTATGTTTAAACTAGCGAGGGAAAATGTTCTATGCTTAAGAATAAAAACCCTACAACCTGTTTCACAAAGAAAATATTAGATACAGTAAAATCTTTTTACTTTCATGATAAGGTGAGATTTCTCTGAGTAATGCTTGCCTCAGACACCAAACACCAGAGGGAAATCTGAAAAACATGCATTTAAGTGCAGATATTGAAAGTTGGATCTGGAAATAGAATATAGATAATATTGTATTTGTGCTATAAATATACATTAATCAATATAAAGTCTTTATTAATCGATATAAAGTGTCATCCGATTTCTATGTAAACATACCAAGTGTTAATCTTCTTTTTTTATTATCTAATACAGGTGTGCCAGCTCCAAGCGGGACAACTTCATACTATGGGAGTTAACATGCTAGATGCAGAGAAGATTCTAGAGAACGTCAACATGTTGCGGCAAACTATGAGTGGTAGGTTTTGTATGCAATAGATACAAAGATCATATGGTTGTAGGGCTACATACAGTATAGCCATTGTTGGTTTAGATTCTTTGACATCTTGGTGACAACTTGCAAGTTTGATTTTCAAGGTTCGGAGCACCCTCGGTGACACAATTTCAATTTGACCTTGAGACATTGACCTTTCTATATTTACGTGGAGTCTATTCATACTGTCCCTCCCCCTAAAATACTTCCCCTATAAGACACCCTATGCAGACAGAGCCTGTGGGAAATATTGGGTGCGGAGCAAATGAGCGGAGGGTGCGGAGCTAACGGTTATTTTTGAATTTAAATTTGGGATATTTCTGAAACTAAGCCGTTTTGGGACTCCAAATATACCAAGATATGTGTATTTGACACCAAATATCAATACAATTGTGAAAATAGTAGCACAATTCATTCTATAGCGACGCAGTGTGCCTTAAACCTTTCCCAGACCTATATATTTTGAAATTATCCTTTTAATACTGAGTCCCCAGCATTCATAAAAAATGGTGTTCAAGGTGCACTATCTATACAAATTATTTTTGCATCTTGGAAGCCAAGCAGTATCTGTGTGATTTTATAAAAATTCGGAAATTTTTTCAGATATGAGCCCCCTCTAAATATTGGGTGCGGAGCAGCTCCATAAACGTAGCTCCGCACCCTTTTTGTCTGTAACTTAGAATTTTGAACATAAGTATACAGAAAACCTACAGTGAACACCTAAGGAGCCACAAACATGCGTTCACTGTAGGTAGGTGTCCCCTATAGAGAGGGTAATTTATGCACAAGTCTGTAGAGTATGTGTGGAGGAAGGGTGTCTACTAGGGACAGGTGTTCACTAGAGAGAGGTATTCACTAAGACAGGTTTTACTGTATTAAAATAGAAAATCTTACAGTAATTTACAATAGGCCCAAACTAGATGATCGTTATACCAACTCAACCTTCACGTAAGACGTTTTTATGAACCAGGTACTTGGCCTACCCTAAATGACCACTGATTGATCAAATCTTGTTCTATGGCTTTGAAATGTAAACTGAGAATCTGAATAAGTTTTGTCTGGTTTTATTCATTGTACTGCAAGGCCCTGCTTGCAGAGGTACTGGTTCATTCCCTATGCTAGCAAACCTACCCTAGTGAAGGAATCTTAGGGATATGTTGTACACTGTATCTTTATGTGTTGATTTGTTTATGTTAAAGTGTTCTCAAGATGTGAATGTAACAAAACAGTGTAAACTTTGGAATGCTTGAGGTCAAAGGTCACGTTCATTTCAATATTACTAGGGCACTTTGAACTTGTTCATTTATATTAGTAAGTTTATGCTGTGGTAATACTAATCAATGGAAACCCTAGCTGGATAAAAGGCTCATATTTATAGAAGTAATGCAATATTTGTCCTATTATAGAAAGCAAGGTGTCATATGATCACATCCCTTATGTTTTATGTGATATATTACATGTACTGTCAAATATGTCTGTTATTCAAATGGGAGGGTACACTTATCAACTACAGTATACTATTTAATGTCAGTGATGATTTGCTATCAAAACCAAAAGAGAATTGAAATTTGAGAATTGAAAATTTAGAACCCATTTTTGGGGAGGGGAACAGTACTGGCGGATCTGGGGGGGGGGCACTTTTGAGTTTTTTTCTGACCTGAAATTTGGCCACCCCCCCCCCTTGTTGGTTCCCAGATCCGCCCCTGGACAGTTGGCAGTTTTGCCATCATGATGACCAATGGTTTCATATCTTCAAGAAGCATCAGCATAGACTCCTCTTGCAATTGACTCATATTTCATAAGCCTTACAGGAGTTATTTCAGAACATGATTTGGAACAGAGTGTCGCCATTTTATTACTATCAAAGGGAAAGTTCAAAACTAGGGCCAGGAACAGTGTTCGTTCAGTATACCTGTATGTGCACTCGCATATTCAGGGATGTCTCCAGGATTTTTTCAAAGGGGGGCGTCTACATCTAAAAAGCAAGTCTCTTAAGCTTCTACTTGAAGCCTATTTTCTCTGCCTCTTTCGCCAGAGCACATCGGTTTTTCCTCTGAGTTTCCCTCTCTTCAACATCATGAATGAAACCCCTGGGGATTGGCTCAAAAAGGGGAGAGGGGTGCCAACACCCCCCCCCCCCTGCAGATGCCTATATAGTTGATTATCTAATAAATTAACAGAGTGATATTTAAACTTATTTTCATTGGAGGCTTATTTGACCCAAGGCCTTCAAGACATTTCCCTCCTGCCCTTGCAAATGTTTTTTCACAGTCCTGAATGTGATTTATATATTCTGCAAGCAGTAATTTGCTTCCTGGTTGTGTGAAGGATAAATGGAGGACGAGATTCTTTTACATAGACTTGTACAATGATGTCATGTGCTCTAAAAATTATCTATAAACAACCTTTCTAAAACTTAGTTTCAATTTTGAACAATTTGGCTCATAATGATCTCACCAGGATTTTTTCTCAGGTGGGTGCAAAATTCTCATTTTCACAATTTAGACCAAAATTGGTCAAAATAATGATTTTCATTTTTAAGTGGGTGCAAGTTTAGGAAGCAATGCCCGAGTGGAATGAATTGGCCATAATACAATTCACAAGTCTTGGGCTTAAAATCTTTTCACACCATTGCAAAATATTTTCTACAAAATCAACTAATAAGAACATATTTCAATGAAACTTTTTGCAAGGGCCAATTTGGCAAAGCATCAATTTCAATCTATAGAGTCAAGTTGTCAACAAATTACCTTGGGAATGATAATAATGCAGTGCAGTTATATGAAATATTATGTACAGATTGGCTAGGATCGGACACACCTTGTTTAAAAAGAACTTCATCTTATTTTCTTCAGTACAAAATAATCCTATACATGTATATAGCTTTGCCCAATCAGATTTATATCAGTCAGTCAGCTTTTAAGCATCAGAACTGTAAAATTGTCTATCCTAGTCCAAGTGTAGTGATTTTACTAATAACTATTAAGTCTCAGGGTGGTATACACCATATTGCAAACTCGGAGTAAGTTACATCAACAGATAAGCATAATATATTTTACAAGATGAATATGCTAGCAGTGTTATACCATATAGGTCATACTAAAACCATATTTTTTTTACCATTATATTATTAAAACCACCTGTTAAATAGAAAGGCAATGTGACATCTCCAGAAGCATGTTGCATGAAATGGCTATATTGTAAACAGGGCTTATGCATATATTGCAAAACCTGTATATCTGAACACCTGACTAATTCGAACACCTCCCAATCTGAACATTTTTTTTCGGTCCCATTTTTTCCTTTCATGTTAAAGAACCTCAAATTTGAACACCTCCTAATTCAAACATTTTTAGTCTGTCCAAATGTTGTTTGGATTAAATAGGTTTTACTGTACTACATATGTTGTATTTTTAATGTAATCAGACTTATAGTTATTTAGTTCTCAATAAATATACATTTTTGAAAACGTTAGGATCATTATGATTGAAGCTGAGAATGATTTATTTTTATTCCCTTATTGCATTCTATTCTAATAAGTTAGTACAGTAAAACCTGTGTATTTGAACACCTGACTAATCCTTAGTATGAACATTTTTCCTCCCATTGACTCTTACCGTATTCTCTGTAATTAGCGCCCAGGGCGTTTAGAAAATTGAAAATACATTATTTAGACCATTCTAATAAGCGCCCATGTATGAAAGAAATCAGAAATCCCGAGGAATTTCATGTATGGCAATTTTTCTTGACAAGAATGCATTTTCTTCAACATATTTTTATAATAATATGACAAGTGCTGTTATTGGAGAGAATACGGTAAAGATCGCTTAGACAATATTGACAGTGGTTGAAGACCCGTCTATGTCTAATTTATTTCCGGCACGCCCACTTTGTCATTATCGCCGATTACCTTCAATATTTCCACTAGAGACTGGTGGATATCGATCTAAAGTTATACATTATTTCTAATTTGATGAGAGATCATCATTATTCGTGCAAAAGTCGTGTAAAAGTCGAGAAACATTAAAAAGAAACCAGAAAGTTCACGACCTTGACATGCGCAGAACATCTGCGCAGTAGCTTTTGAAATTTCTGAATGCCGATAAAGAACAATTCCTTCATTCATTATGGACTATTTGGAGACAATATTAGCATGGTATGGTTTGGGAAGCACCCATCGATAGATATGTATCGAGAGGATGCATAGAATTACAAAACGTGTCGTGTTACAGCAGTTTTAGGGTAAGTACTCTATTATCGCCCGCTCCTGGATTTTGAGAAATATTTTTTTCCTGATATATTCTTCAATTCTTGTTGATTCCTCGATGTTTCTTGAACTTTGTGAAGCGGGGTGGGCGCTTATTAGAGAGTGGGCGGTAATTACAGAGAATACGGTATGTTAAAAAAACTTGAAATGTGAACATGTTCCAATTTGACATTGCTCAAATATTTTTATTATCCTATCAAAAGAAGTTCGGAGAGATATAGAGAATGGCTCCATCCCCACATATCTAAGAATAAATAGAAAAACAAAGAGAAAAAAGAACAAAGATATTCTCAAGCTGTAATTTTAAATGCAAAAAAATAATCTGATAAAAAATGTGGTGGCCATTTTGAAAAAAGTGGTGGCCATTACATAATATTTTACAATTTTTGCCGTAACTGGAAAAGTTGCAGAGCGATTTTGACATATTTGACATGTGAAGATTCTAATAAGCATGCTCCATTTTGACACTATTTAAGTTTTTACTATAACTCGAAAAGTACTAAAGGATATCAAATATTTGTATGATTTAGTGATGAGAATCATCTGAAAATCCAACTTATTCTGAACTAACTATTTTTCTAAATCTCTACATATTCGAATTACCATGTAAAATATTATTGCAGATTTAGCCTTAACCAGCCTATAATACGTGACAGTTTATCAATATCTCCGATTCTGAAATTAATTCTCAGGAATGAAATAATGAGGTCATCCTATTCATCATATTGGTTCATTTAATCTTCAACTATACCCGCTCCCATCCATGCTTCGACATCCTGATACTTATCGTTCCTGTTGTGCAACTAGCTGCAAAATAACTGATAGACGGGTTTGTCGTCACACAATTGTGCCTCAGTATCAGAAGTTAATGTCACACTCTATGATTTTTTTCATATTACCATCATAAATCTTTACAGATTTCATGTTTGAAAAAAATAAAAAATATTTCATCGGAGGCAAGCTAATGACATAATGTTAGACTCACTTTGGTGAATGCAGAAGGCCACTACCCAATTGCTCTCAAAGAGAGCATTCTATTGTCGGGAATTTGTAGATCTGTAAGAATTTTCATAAACTTTCTGAAACCAGTATATTTTTGATGAGTTATACTACTTGTGCTGGAAATTTGGATGTAGCTATAACAATGGTTGTTTTCTGATATGGCATTCTGATAGGATGCCTCGATAAACAAACTGCCATAGCAACTGTCACAGTGGATTACTGATGTACAGTTCACATATACGCATTCAATCTCGTATTGCCATTTATTTAAATTAGACGTTCCATTATATAATTAGGCATTATTGATTTTCATCCTGTGGTGGGGACTTAATATTACTTGGCTCATTCTGATTTCTGCGCTGGCATATTTGATTCCACTGGCAATAACACAGAACTAGAAATATATGTTGTCTTTTGCTTTCATTTGAAGCTCTTTTTGCTTGTATGCTGAGTAAGGATGATATTTAATAAACTAATGCAAGGTTCTATAAGATGAGTTTAGAACTTGAACGTATTACATGATATGATTTCAAGTAACTTTAAAATTCAAAACCAATAATTGATATTTGATATTTCAGGTGACCTTGAATAAAGGATGTGACCTTGACCATAAAGTAGCAATGACTTTCAAAGAACCTTAATACGAAACCCATATATTGACCTATGTGACCCATGTGACAAAATCTTAGAGATCTCACTTTGACCTTATATGACCTTTATAGGATTGACCCTTATAATCCCTGACTTTACATACATAATATAGACATGCTAATTTTTGTTTATGACCTTGACTCTTCTAAATTTAGTAAGTATGCTGTAGCCAATGGCTGAAGAATTTGTATTCATGTCCACAAAAATATACTTGTAACGAACCTAAAAAGATTGATTTAAGAATGTCTTATATTTTCAGATAGTATAGGGCAATGTTACTGATGTTCTACATGTAAATACCCGCAATCATATCATAATTATCTTTATTGCAGTTTCTTTGTAAAATATGTGAAATAATGGGGGCAAGTCATTTCTGACATTTTCTTGATCTTTGATGGATTTCACTGTACCTTGACACCTTGTTACTGTGGAAATAACAGTTTTTGATCAGCAACATCCATAAGCATTATGATGCCAATTTTGATGGCAAGTGATTCAAGATTACAAATCAGGTCAACAAAGGAGATGATTGCAAGACACTAGCCAGTGGCATCTGAACTCTGGGAAATCTCCTCCTCTGATTTCATGATACAGATCACTATATATGGGTTATTTCTGAGAAATCAAAATCACGTGTCACTTTTTTATGATTGATATCATCAAGGGGAAAGTGATGAAATATGCATGTAATCTAGTTCTAGACCTAGAGTAGAAGCTGAACATATACTCACAATGTACTAATAGGCATTAGGTAAACTTCACCTTTACCAGCCTATTACTGGTGAGCTGTACACCTTTCTATGCAAGAGAAATCGAACCACTGAATATAACATGAATTGTATGAGCTGGAAAATTACATGTTGTAAATTCCTCTCTTTTCATGGCATTTTCTCAGTTTTAGCATGGCCAGGTTGACATTTGTGAAGACTTATAGCCTTAGTCTGGGCCATGGGAGAAAGGTGAACCTGATCATATTACTTCATCTTCTTACTTTCTAGAAAAGCAGCCTTTCATATAAAATTGAGGTTGCTAATATAATTATACCAGTTTTCATAGAAGATCCCCCTGTATCGTGAAACTTGTCTACAAATCACATATATTCATCTATTTCTGTTGTCTATTTTATGTTACTGAACAGGGGTTTTGCAGGAATAAATACCACTCTGAAATATTTGTAAGGGTAAGGGGCTACCAGCTATAAGGATGTAAAGTTTTCTTTAGGGCTACTGACAATATATGTTTTGTTTTATACAAATATACTCATCTTGCATCATTATATGAACTATCTTACAGACACCCTTTAACTCTGATATAAGATCTAGGTTAAGTAGTCTTTTATCTGGAATTATTAGAACATATCATATTTGCATATGTTGACAGATAGGTTTATCTCTTTCAGTCCAGGGTATTATCGATGTTATATTTTGATAATTTAAAAATCCTCATGAAAACTTATTCCCTCTTGACCTTGAAGAAATGAAACCAGGTAGGTATAATGTTTCAAGAATGATATGAAAGTATTGGTATGTAGAATGAAACAAACAACAGCATGAGAATATTGTGCTATATTTGTAAGAGTAAAACATTCTATAGTGTAGGTAGTTTTTTTGTAAGGGCGGCAAAGTGCTTTACTGTACTTTTTTGCTTGCTATCTTTACATATCATCAGACTATATTAGCATCTTCATATAGTTTTTAATTCTGAAATGTAATCAATTATTCATTGCACGATTCTTAATGTTTCTGCTGATTTTTTTATAAATGTATGCTATCTATAGAACTTATAGCACCAGAGGTGAAATCTTTCAATTTGATACTTCTCTTTTGAATTCTACTCCACCCATGCTCCTCTGATTTCTTCACCTCCCAGAATTCATTTTATTCCCACCGTCTGCTCTGTCATTTAGCCTGGCCATTGCCATTCCCAAATATTGTCAATTTTTACCATTTTCCAAATATCTTCCCAATAGCATATTTCTCTATATTCCTCCGAAATGTTGTTTACCTTTTCAACATTTTACATATTTTCAAACATTTCTTAACTGAAACAGTGTCATGGAGACAGATTTCACTAAATGGTAAATTATGTTGTACATGTAGTTTCATTACATTATCATTTGTAGTATCTTATAGTGCTTGATGTTTTCATCCTATGAACACAAATGTCTCTGTTGCATTCATTTGTATCACATCCACATTTGTTGGTGTATCGCCTACTACTGTTGGTGTCTCATCTGCATTTGTTGGTGTATCACCAACTACTGTTGGTGTCTCATCCACATTTGTTGGTGTATCACCTACTACTGTTGGTGTCTCATCCACATTTGTTGATGCATCACCAACTACGGTTGGTGTCTCATCCACATTTGTTGGTGTATCACCTACTACTGTTGGTGTCTCATCCACATTTGTTGATGCATCACCAACTACTGTTGGTGTCTCATCCACATTTGTTGGTATATCACCTACTACTATTGGTGTCTCATCCACATTTGTTGATGTATCACCTACTACTGTTGGTGTCTCATCCACATTTGTTGGTGTATCACCTACTAATGTTGGTGTCTCATCCACATTTGTTGATGCATCACCAACTACGGTTGGTGTCTCATCCACATTTGTTGGTGTATCACCTACTACTGTTGGTGTCTCATCCACATTTGTTGATGCATCACCAACTACTGTTGGTGTCTCATCCACATTTGTTGGTATATCACCTACTACTATTGGTGTCTCATCCACATTTGTTGATGTATCACCTACTACTGTTGGTGTCTCATCCACATTTGTTGGTGTATCACCTACTACTGTTGGTGTCTCATCCACATTTGTTGATGCATCACCAACTACTGTTGGTGTCTCATCCACATTTGTTGGTATATCACCTACTACTATTGGTGTCTCATCCACATTTGTTGATGTATCACCTACTACTGTTGGTGTCTCATCCACATTTGTTGGTGTATCACCTACTAATGTTGGTGTCTCATCCACATTTGTTGATGCATCACCAACTACTGTTGGTGTCTCATCCATATTTGTTGGTGTAACACTTACTACTGTTGGTGTCTCATCCACATTTGTTGATGCATCACCTACTCCTTTTGGTGTCTCATCCTCTTTTGTTGGTGTATGGGGAGGGGGAAGAGACAGTGTTCATAGGATAGATGTTTTATGTTTGCTTATGTTAGCTTTGTTTGTGTTGTTTGCAGTGGGTACTCAGTCTCCTTCGGGCCCCATGCCTCCACCCTCTAGTGTCCCCTACAGTGCACCCCTAGACCCAGTTGTGTCACCCGCCAGTAACGCACTCAGAAACGTTGCAGCAATGAATGCCAACAGAGGTGAGACTAAATAACAAAAATGTGTGTTCTACAAGGAGAAAAATGGCACTCAAAAATATCTACCTAGGGCTCTAACTGTGGGGCCAAGTAACCTTGTACTGGTACTTTGGAATCTAAAATCAACCAGTCTAAGGTTTAATCCAAAACATGTGTCACTTGAATTCTACAACATAAATGCACAGTTGGAACCATTTTTCTTATAATATTTGCAAACAGTGAAGGAAAATTCAGAATGCATCTGGTCTATTTTTATACGCAAACTTAATTCCGTGGCACTATTTTATTTTTCCAGGCGATGTTTTTTGTTTGTGCCGTGGCAAAGGAAAATCTCCTTTGTTGTTGTTGATGCTGCTTCTGTAATACAATTTATTTATTATTCCATCGGACAAAGTATGGGGAATACAGATAACATATCTGTCCATTCGTCCGGATGATAACTCTGATACTAACAGTCTGATTTCATTCATATTTATTGTTAATTATCTGTGTATGTAAAGGTTCTGCTCGGAGTATGATTTCAAATAGTTTTACTTCATAATTTTCTTTTTGAAATTTGATAATTCCAAAAAAAAATCTTTAACAATTCTTCAGAAAACAGTTTTAATTGTTTTTTGACATTTTAACTGCAACTTAGAAAGAAATAAAGTGATTTTTCTTCATATTGTACATGGAGCTTGACATATTATTTTTCTAAAATTGTGACACTTCATGCTTTTGTTGAGAGACCTGGCAGTGTTCATAAAATTGAAAAACAATAGAGTGACGTCCCATTTGTTTCGAAAAAAGGATTTGCTTTCCCCTGGCACTGCTGTTGTCTAGTTAGGTAACAAAAATAGCTGATACAAATGTTTTCAATTCATTCCACAAAAATGTTCTTTTAAAGTTTAGGGAGATGCAACAAGAGAGATAAGAATGTTGTACCTAAAATCTTCATGTTCTGATCATGTTTTGAAAAAGCTTATTGCACAGTGCTTTGTTTTCTTCAGTGGATGGATGGGTGGCATTTCACTTATCCTGCACTTCAGGCAAACTGCTTAGAGATTGATAGGAAATTTTCATGTTTCTTGTTATGAAAATATTGCATTTTTTTTTCAAGGGTGCTATTTTGTATGAAATTTCTATGATTCTGGGGAGAGAGTCACAGGGGCTTGATGCAAAACTAAGCTTTTCAAAACATCGAAGTTTGCTTATTTATGCATATAAATGCGGCTTTTGAAAAAGAGTACTTGTCATAGTACTAAAAAATGAGATCATCAAGGAAAATACTAAGTAAGGCAGAGAATTACTGACTTTTGAAGAACTTGTTTTGTAAAACTTGTTATCCTAAAAGCTATAATGAGATCTGTGACAAACATCATTCTGGTTTACTGGACCTGGATTTACCTGTTATATGTCTCTGGAATAGAAATGTGTGGTGTTATATGTCTCTGGAATAGAAATGTGTGGTGTTATATGTCTCTGGAATAGAAATGTATGGTGTCATATGTCTCTGGAATAGAAATGTGTGGTGTTATATGTCTCTGGAATAGAAATGTGTGGTGTTATATGTTTCTGGAATAAAAATGTGTGGTGTTATATGTCTATGGAATAGAAATGTGTGGTGTTATATGTCTCTGGAATAGAAATGTGTGGTGTTATATGTCTATGGAATAAAAATGTGTGGTGTTATTTGTCTCTGGAATAGAAATGTGTGGTGTTATTTGTCTCTGGAATAGAAATGTGTGGTGTTATTTGTCTCTGGAATAGAAATGTGTGGTGTCATATGTCTCTGGAATAGAAATATGTGGTGTTATGTCTCTGGAATAGAAATGTGTGGTGTTATATGTCTCTTCAATAGAAATGTGTGGTGTTACATGTCTCTGCAATAAAAATGTGTGGTGTTATATGTCTCTGGAATAGAAATGTGTGGTGTTATTAGCTCACATGGTGAGCTTTTGCAATCACTCACTTGTCCGTCTGTCTGTACGTCCGTCCGTCTGTACGTCCGTCTGTCCGTCAACAATAGTGGCACGTTTTAAAACCTCTGTCGATAGGATTCCTGTTTTAAGTTATTTCTGTTCAACATCAATACAGAAAACCTCCCTATGACTCCTGGTTCAAAAGCTCGCCTTTTTTCAAAATGGCCGTCACTTTTGTCTCGCGAAATTAACTTTTGGCCCATTTCCTAGCTTTACAAATAATTTCAGGTGTCCTACATTGTAAAAATCCATGTCAATGTAAAGATTAGATATATGAAATAATTTTGTTACAAAAAATCAGCGAAAAATTGTATCCATTTTTTTTATTTTCAGCCATTTTAGTTAACATTGATTTGTCTATCTGACTCGTGAAATCCACTTTCTGTCAATAACAGTGGCACGTTTTAAAACCTCTGTCGATAGGATTCCTGTTTTAAGTTATTTCTGTTCAACATGAATTCAGAAAACTCCCCTATGACTCCTGGTTCAAAAGCTCGCCTATTTTCAAAATGGCCACCATTTTTGTCTCGCGAAATTCACTTTTGACCCATTTCCTAGCTTTACAAATAATTTCAAGTGTCCTACATTGTAGAAATCCATTGCAAAGTAAAGAGTAGATGTATGAAATAATTTTGTTACGAAAAATCAGCGAAAAATTATATCCATTTATTTATTTTCAGCCATTTTAGTTAACATTGATTTGTCCATCTGTCTCGCAAAATTCACTTTTGGACCATTTACCTTAAACCCTCTGTCGATAGGATTCCCATTTTAAGTTATTTTTGTTCAATATCAATACAAAAAACTCTCCTATGACTCTTGGTTCAAAAGCTCGGCTATTTTCAAAATGGCCGTCACTTTTGTCTCGCGAAATTCACTTTTGACCCATTTCCTAGCTTTACAAATAATTTCAGGTGTCCTACATTGTAAAAATCCATGTCAATGTAAAGGGTAGATATATGAAATAATTTTGTTACAAAAAATCAGCGAAAAATGTATCCATTTTTTTATTTTCAGCCATTTTAGTTAACATTGATTTGTCTATCTGACTCGCGAAATCCACTTTCTGTGGCACGTTTTAAAACCTCTGTCGATAGGATTCCTGTTTTAAGTTATTTCTGTTCAACATCAATTCAGAAAACTCCCCTATGACTCCTAGTTCAAAAGCTCGCCTATTTTCAATATGGCCGCCATTTTTGTCTCGCGAAATTCACTTTTGACCAATTTCCTAGCTTTACAAATAATTTCAAGTGTCCTACATTGTAAAAATCCATGTCAATGTAAAGAGTAGATGTATGAAATAATTTTGTTACGAAAAATCAGCGAAAAATTATATCCATTTATTTATTTTCAGCCATTTTTATGTCCCCACCACATAGTGTGGGGCCATATTGTCGTCCTAGGCGCGTCCGTCCGTCTGTCTGTCTGTCTGGTTGTCTGTCTGTCCGTCCGTACGTCCGGCAGTTTTCTCCAAAACCGCTACAGGTATCACCTTCAAATTTTCAGGAATAACTTGTGAGTGCATACAGATGTGGATGAAAAAAAATTAACTCGATAGCTACTTCCTGTCGGCCATTTTGAGGTCAAATGCTAAAATCCTTGTCTGCAAACTTTAAGAAAAACGGCTTCACAGTTGCTTTTAAAACTTTAACATCTTGTTCAGCTCACTTCATTCTACATCTGATTAGGTTTTGGACCTGTTAGCCCAGTCATGTCAGCCATTTTGAATGTCTGAAGAAAAGTTAGCGCGCGATAATACTTTGTATCATATTGAATGGTGTTTTTGAGTTTTCATACTTTAACTATTTAGTAGCTTTATAAATAATTCCAGGTGTACTTTGTTGAAAAAGCCTATGTTATTGTTAACAGTAGTTATATGTGATAATTTTGTAAAAGGAAATCAGCAAAAACTCATAATCACTTTTTTATTGTCGGCCATTTTGGTTTTTTCCGTCCTAAAATCTTGTCTGTAAAGTCTTGTCTACACGTTTTCAGGTGAACTGTTTGGTAGATCAATTTCAAATTTTCAGGGATGAATCTTAGTATGAAAATCTAGATCTGATTAGTTTTTTGGCGTTCTGGGTAAATGTCAAGGCAGCCATTTTGGATTTTCCGTCCTAAAATCTTGTCTGTAAAGTCTTGTCTACGCATTTCCAGGTGAACCGTTTGGTAGATCAATTTCAAATTTTCAGGGATGATTCTTAGTATGAAAATCTAGATCTGATTAGTTTTTTTGGCGTTCTGGGTAAATGTCAAGGCAGCCATTTTGGATTTTCCATCCTAAAATCTTGTCTGTAAAGTCTTGTTTAACTGTTTGACGGATCAATTTCAAATTTTCAGGGGTGGTTCTTAGTATGAAAATCTAGAACTAGCTAATTTTTGGGGATTCTGGGTAAATTTTAAGGCAGCCATTTTGGACTTTCCGTCCTCAAATTGTGTCAGTAAAGTCTTGTCTACTCATTTTCAGGATAACCATTTCATGGGATCACCCATTGGTGGGGACATATTGTACACATTTGTGTTCTTGTAGTTAACATTGATTTGTCCGTCTCGCAAAATCCACTTTTGGACCATTTACCTTAAACCCTCTGTCGATAGGATTCCCATTCTAAGTTAATTTTGTTCAACATCAATACAAAAAACTCTCCTATGACTCTTGGTTCAAAAGCTCGCCTATTTTCAAAATGGTTGCCATTCTTGTTTCGCGAAATTCCCTTTTTGCCCATTTCCTAGCTTTACATTTTAGCTTTAATTTCAGCTGTCCTGCATTGTAAAAAGCCATGTCACTGTTAAAGGTAGTTGTATGAAATAATTTTGTTACAAAAAATCAGCAAAATATTATATCCGTTTTTTTTATTTTCAGCCATTTTAGTTAACATTTTTGTTACGAAAAATCAGCGAAAAATTATATACATTTATTTATTTTCAGCCATTTTAGTTAACATTGATTTGTCCATCTGTCTCGCAAAATCCACTTTTGGACCATTTACCTTAAACCCTCTGTCGATAGGATTCCCATTTTAAGTTAATTTTGTTCAACAT